TCACTCTGTCGCCCAGACTGGAGTGCAGTGGCCACTCCCGGCCACCACAGCCTCGACCTGCTGGGCTCCGGTGATCCTTCCGCCTCAGCCTTCCAAGTAGCTGGAACTACAGGCACACGCTACCACGCCCAGCTCATTTTTGATTTATTGTAGAGATGAGGTCTCGTCAAGTTGCCCATGCTGGTCTTGAACACGTGGACTCAGGCAGTCCTCTTTTCTCTACCTCCCAAAATGCTGGGATTATAGGCGTGAGCCACCATGTCGGCTTGTGCCCATTCTTCATTTCCTTAGGATACATGTAGAATTGGATTGATCAGGCAACCCCTACGGGTCCCCTCCCACTGTGGGACCTTGCTGTCTTCTCAACATATCCTTCTTTAATAAAAAGGGCCAGGCACAGTGACTCAAGTCTGTAATCCGAGCACTTTGGGAGGCCAAGATGAGAGGATTGTCTGAGCCCAAGGGTTTGAGAACAGCCTGGACAACTTGGGGAGACCTCCTCTCTACAATAAATTAAAAAAATTAGCTGAGCATGATAGTGCATGCCTGTAGTTCTGGCTACCTGGAAGGCTAAGGCAGAAGGAACGCCTGCCTGAGCCCAGCAGGTTGACCCTGGGGTGGTCGTGAGTGTGCCACTGCACTCCAACCAGTGGGACAGAGTGAGACTCCAACTCAAAAAAAAAAGAAAGGCTCTTTCAGTTATTGTGTATGCATGTGTTTCAGGACTTGCAGCAGGGCTGTGCCACTTTAAGGTTCCAGCAGCTCAAGTGCCCTCTTCCTTATCTCTCTCCAAAGCCAAGTTAGATTAATCAATATTTTGGTTGCAAATTTGTTCAGTAATTTTTTCAATTCATCTTCACTCAATGGCCTACAGATGCTTAAATGTGATGCTCATCTCCCTTCAGAACTCCCATCAGCTATGCTTAACAGTTCTGTCTCTTTCTCTTCCCATCAGCTATGCTTAACAGTTCTGTCTCTTTCTCTTCCCAACCGTATGTCATAAATCTTTTGATCTTGACCACTCTGATAGGCCAAACAATGAGACCTTTTCCTTGGAGGCATGGAAACCTCTTGTAGTCACCTAGATTTAAAGAATGGAAAAGGACAACTGTTAGAAGCATGAGGAATTAGTGATTGGATATATCTGTATTATGTTCTGCTGCATCTCACCACCACTGCATCTCACCATCTCTTCATACTAGTGTTCATCACTGACCATGTGTAGGGCGCTTTTGAGGTCAGTCCCAGATGCCTAACAGGCCCTGTGTAGCTGGGCCTGCTTCTCCTCTGGCCTCCTCTCTAGTTTCTCGATTTGTTATTGTTCTCCAGCCTACATGCCTCCTTTCTGTCCTGGAGTGCTCAAGTCTGGTCCCAGCTCAGAGCATTTCTCTCTGCTGTTCCTCTTGTCTGGAATGCCTTTGGACAGCTGGACAGCTGACTTTGTCCTGCTTGCCAGGGCTCAGCACAGCCATTCCCTCTTCAGAGAGTCCTTCCCCTTTTTACCTTCATCTTCTATACTAGTCATATCCTTCATTCTTTATCTTTTGATTATCTTTGTCTCTCTCTCTTTTTTTTTTTTATTAGTTGAAGTCTCACTCTGTCACCCAGGCTGGAGTGCAGTGGCCGCTCCTGGCCACTGCAGCCTCGACCTGCTGGGCTCCGGGGATCTTTCCGTCTCAGCCTTCCAAGTAGCCGGAATTACAGGCATGCGCTACCATGCCCGGCTGATTTTTTGATTTATTGTAGAGATGAGGTCTTGCTGCCCAGGCAAGTCTCAAACCCGCGGGCTCAGGCAATTCACTCACCTCAGCCTCCCAAAGGCGCGGGATTACAGGCTGAGCCACCGAGCCCGGCTCTCATTTCTTTCTTGTTCATCACTGTAATACCAGTGCCTAGCACTTAGCAGTCACTCAGATGTTGCTTGACAGATAAATAGTATTGAAGAGTGTTGAGTAGTTCAGAGTTGAAAGGAATAGGACCTGCTGTTTGTTATCCAAAAGGGCAATAAGTCCAACAAATTAGGGTTTCCAGAGGGAGGCAAATTGATCACCTTTTCAACAGAGTTGCCTAGCAGTGGAGCAAGTGCCTTCCCTGGAGAAGTAATCAGCTATGACTTGATATTGCTGAAATGGTTCTTACGCTGGATGTTGAAGTTGGCCAGATCATTTCTAAGACCCTTCAGAGTCTTAAAACTGTGGGATGCATGTTCTCATTTGTGGGTTACTAGTCTACCATCCTTGTTTTAACGGCAGGTATGGCTTTTACCACTAGATGGCATTGGACGATTCCTTTGAAATCAGTGTTTTTCAAACTCATCCACAGTGAGAAAGTACATTTTTCATTGCATTTACACCCTCAATGCTCACCTGAAACAAAAGTTTCACAGATATCTTAACTTTTACTTTGTGTAATATATGCTATTTTCTATTACTCTGTTCTACTTCATTTAAAAAAAAATAGCTGGGTTGCAAATTATTTAATTGATTTTATGATATTAATGGGTCATAATGCTATTTGAAATCACTAATTTCATTTCATTTCATTTCATTTTTATTATTGTTTTTGAGTCGGAGTCTCACTTTGTTGCCCAGACTGGAGTGTAGTGTCACAATCATGGCTCACCGGAGCTTCGACCTCCTGGGTTCAGGCAATCCCTCCCGCCTCAGCCTCCTGAGTAGCTGGGACTACAGGTGTGCGCCACCTTGCTTAACTTTTTTTTTCTTTTTTTGTAGAGACGAGGTCTTTCTATATTGGCTAGGCTGGTCTTGAACTCCGGGGCTAAAGCATTCTTCCACCTCAGCCTCCCAAAGTGCTGGGATTACAGGTGTGAGCCACTGTGCCCAGCCTGAAAAACACTATTTTAGATAATTGAACAAATTTATTGTTATAAAATTCTGTGGGTATGCTGTTTTTCTTGGATAGTCTGGGTTTGTAGAGCAAATCTTGCCCATTAGTGAATATTTTGCATGTTTCTGTGGCGACTTGCTACATTGAGTGACTGAACATATGTACTTCCTTCTGGGTGTCTGTGGATGTGCAAACATGAGTGAGAGAGACTGTAGGGGACATGTCTGTACAGAATTTGGTACCTATTATGGTCAAGGCAGAAGTAAGCCTTGTCAGTAAATATAAAGAAAAGATGATTGGTTATCTGCTATTGGGAGCTCAGAATCTAATTGGGAGACATGACTTTAAATTTTATCTTACTTATCAAGAAACTTTAAATTTTATCTTACTTATCAAGAAACATGGAAATGGAGGTGTTACTCAGGGATCAGTTACAACTTTAGGCTGTAAGTAACAGAAGCCTGACTCAAGCTGGCTTAAGTGGTAAAGACACTTAACTTAGTGTTTCACAAAATATTCTTTGAGTGGTAGCTAGTCATAGCATAGTATAGCACAACATAGCATAGTAGGCCATAGCAGCTGAGCATGGCTTTGGGTTCCAGGTTCTTTTCATGACTTCTCAGTTATCTGAAAGCTGATTCTACATATGGTTGTTAGAAGGCTTCCAATGACAATCAGGGGTTTAGCTCTCAGGCTTGAAACACTAAGCTTTAACTCCTTGTAGTATAGACCAGGATAGAAAGAATGAAGGTTACCAGAACATTTTCTAAGTTGTTTTGTTTGCATTTGTTTTATTCATTTGTTCCTGGTTTCCCCATGATGTCCTCCCTAAGGGGAGTGAAATGATTGGCACCTTATACAGAGTCAGAGAAATACTTAGGTTGATTAGTGATGTTTGCCAAATACTTCTGAGTCTTGCTTTTTCTGGGCACAGGACTTTTGATTTCTGGAGTTATGTGACTAACTCTGACCAATGAGTTTGCTGAATAAATAAATGGTTTCAAGTCTTCTTTTGGAGTGTGAGGTGAGATTATTTGTTGTTTAGGGTCCTGGGAAAGGAATTAGCAACACGAGAAAAGAGAGGTGAGAAATGACCACAGTAGGAAATGTGATGAGCAGTGTAATGTGAATATGAAGATGATTGGATGGAGGGGTCTTTACGTTTGTAATGGGACACTAAACATGCACCTGTTAGCCTTTTGAAGTAGTTGGTTTTCTCTGGATCCTTGACCTCTTTTCTGGGAACTTGGCAGTGGAACCTTGGCCTAAACTGACTAATCTTTTTTCGTTTTGTTTTATTTTAAAGTTGTGGGGTACAAGTCAGGATTGCATACATAAGTGGTTGGGTGCAGGTGAAGTTTTGGGCCTCCCATTGCACCTCACTTCACCTGGGTTAGGATCAGGCACCCTTATTAATGTGATGTGCCCTCTCCTTCCCTGGCAGTGTCCTGCTACTGCCAATCTCTTTTTTGTAGTATTGTGATAGGTGTTAGGGTTCACTTAGGAGGAAGAACATGTCAGTTCTTTGTTTCTCTGACAGGTCACTGAGTATGATAGACTCCAAATCCATCCAAGTTGCTGCGAAGTCCATAATTTTGTCCTTCTTTATGACTGTGTAATATTCCGTCATGTATATGTACTCCATTTTTTTATCCAGCCCAGTTTCGATGGACGTTTGGTTCCATGTTTTTGCTACTGTGAATAGTGCTGCAATAAACATGTGTGCACAGGTATCTTTTTTTGTGTGGAATGATTTGAGTTCCTCCGAGTATATTCCTAGAAGGGGGATTGCTGAGTCGTGTGGAAGGTCTATTTCTAGTTCTTTTAGAAATCACCACACTGTTTTCCATAGACGTTGAACTAGTTTGCATTCCCTCCAATAGTGTAGAAGTGTTCCTTTTTCTCCGTCTCCTCACCAGCATTTGTTGTTTTTTTGTATTAATGATGACCATTCTTAGTGGAGTTAGGTGGTATCTCAGTAGGGTTTTAATTTGCATTCCTTTGATTATTAGTGAGACTGAACATTTTTTCACGTGTCTGTTGGCTGCTCATATGTCTTCTTTTGACAAGTATCTATTCATGTCTTTTGCCCATTTTTTAATGGGTAAACCTACTAATCTCTACTCACCTACCTCCTTTTTTATCCCTTTCAGGTTTGCAGTGAGCATTGGCTACTGGCATGACCCTTACATCCAGCACTTTGTGAGACTGTCTAAAGAGAGGAAGGCCCCTGAAATTAACAGAGGCAAGTGACCATCTCCCTCCCCAATAGCTCTTCATCAGCCAAGATGCCTGAGATTGTGGGGATTCATTCTTCAAGGGAGTTCAGGGTGCACCCTTTCTAGCAGCACGTGAAAGTGCTTATTTCCCAACATCCTCACCAACACGGTGTATTATGAAACTTCTTAATTTTTAAAAATCTGACACATGAAACATTATATTTAATTGTAATTTTATTTTATATTTTCCTTGTTTATAGATGAGGTTGATCATTATTTTCATATGTTTGCCACCCATTTGTATCTCTTTTACTGTGAACTGTTCATGTCAGGAATTAATTTTTTTCCAGTTAAAATAGCTATAAATAAAGCTGTATTTTAACACTCCTACTGTTATACAGATTAAAATAAACATTGTGAAAGTGCCTTATGATACTGGTGTGAGGACTAGAGTCTTCTAGAGTTTTGTTTTTTTTTTGAGTTGGAGTCTCACTCTGTCACCCAGACTGGAGTGCAGTGGCCGCTCCCGCCCACCGCAGCCTCCACCTGCTGGGCTCCGGCGATCCTTCCGCCTCAGCCTTCGGAATAGCTGGAACTACAGGTGCATGCTACCACGCCCGGCTAATTTTTTGATTTATTGTAGAGATGAGGTCTCGCTGCCCAGGCGGGTCTCGAACCCAAGGGCTCAGGCAATCCACTCACCTCACCCTCCCAAAGGCATGGGATTACAGGCTGAGCCACCGAGCCCAGCTTCCTAGAGTATTATATCAGATTTTTACTCTGTGTTGGTAGAGGGAAAAATAGCTTTGTTTGCCTATAGCTCATCTAGATGTGTGGACTAATGTGGACTTAATTGGGTTCTTCTATGAGGAAACTTTCTAAAGACTTTTGTATGTTTTAGGCTCAGTATATCTGAGTTTTCAACCCTCTGGTCTGTCTTTCTAAATGTTCCCTGAGGATGGCGATTGTAAGTTTTCTGCCTAGTTGCACAACTTGAGAGCGCATGGGTTTTCTACTGCTTTGTGGACATCCCTCACTGTAGGCTGTAGGGGAAGAGTTGCCAGACTTGGTAATTTTCAGAGAAGGGAGGTCTCAGAGGTGCTGACAGCAGAAGATTTGATGTTTAACACATTCACCATTGGCAAATTTTCACTTTCCTAATACTGATTGTGGGTGAAAATAAAAAAACCTGAAGTTGGTTGCCACAAACTTCTGTCCTAAGCACAAGTAAAATGGTCTTTGCTAAATTGTCACCTTTTTTCACAATACAGATGAAAGTTGCAGACATAGTATTTGCCTCAGACACCACTTTGACTAGCATTCCGTACTTTGTATTTTTATTTGGATTATAAACTGAATATATATTATTTAGAAACAGAATTTACATAAAAACACGTCAGTGGCAACCAGGAACAGAATTTGAAATGATGTAAATTAATGTCAGTGGTTGCAAGTGAGTTAAGATTCAAATTAGCCGGGCATGGTGGCACGCGCCAGTAGTCCCAGCTCCTTGCCTGTAGTCTCTGCTGCTCAGAGACTGAGGCAGGAGTATTCCCTGAGCCCAGGAGGTTGAGGCTGCAATGAGCCATGATCATGCCACTGCACGCCAGTCCGGATGGCAGAGTGAAACTCCGACTCAAAAAAAAAAGATTCGTTAACAGATTTTATTGTCACATTGTAGTGTTAGGAACATCCTTAGTTCTGCAAGTCATTGTCACTAAGGATGTCAAAGGGTTTGAGACAGAAACAAGACTTATTCTCAGCTTTGAGAAATTGATCACATGACCTTAATTCTTGTGTGTGCAGGGAATTTTGACCCTAAAGATGGATCCTGTGAGAGGATTCTACAAGAAATGCAAATAAATGTTACAGAGGGGATGGTTCCTGAAAACAAGGACGACCTATTTTACTTTGCTTGCTCCCCAAGCATATTTCAGAGGCTAGGACACCCCTCCACCCCCACCCCGCTGCGTGTCAGCCTGCCTTCCTTTCTACCTCCTCTCTCTGGATTTAAACCTCTAGATTGCAGCCCAGTAGGAGAGCATCTCCCAAACTGAGTGTGGTGCTCTGATATCTAATCCATCATGAATGATATCTGTATAAAATGTAATAAACTTGATTTACTAGAAAAATAAAATGAAAAAGACATACAAACTACAATTCTAAATTATTTATTAGTAGATTAAAAGACATAAAATTTCTTTGTCAATTTGCAATAAAAGTGGGTTTTTTTGAGTTGGAGTCTCACTCCGTCGCCCAGGCTGGAGTGCAGCCTTGACCTGCTGGGCTCCGGCGATCCTTCTGCCTCAGCCTTCCGAGTAGCTTGAACTACAGGCGTGCGCTACCATGCCTGGCTAATTTTTTGATTTATTGTAGAGATGAGATCTCGCCAATAGTTCACAATAAAAGTTTTTAAATGCTGCTCAAATTGTTTTCTTAAAATAGTTACATACTGTTAACTGTCATGCACACACTGAGCAGCAGAGCATTAGAATGCAGATGTTGTCTTCTTTTCTTCTTTACTTTCCACCTCCTTTTCCCCAGCCCTCCACCTTAGAGCTTAACAAGTCATTTTCTTAGGCAACCGTTTGCTTATGCCTGCCCCCTTCCCTTTGGTTTTACATAGAGTCTCTAACCTAACCTGTTCTGGGTGGACATAATGGAACAGGATAAGAAATATGGCTTCTTTTGCTTTAACATTTCATCTGCCCGATTTCCTGACCCGAAATAGTATTTTTCGTGTTATCCCACATTTTGAGTTTTACTAGAGACCTGAGTAGCCTTCACTATAGCCATAAAAGGCACATTTCCAAGAGGGACATTTGGATCAGATGTTTTAATGTAAAACACTTGTCTTTCACACATGAAATGATGGGACATTTTGTTTTTTTAAAGGGTAGTTAATTCCTTCACAAAGTAGGTTATACTTAACTTTGGTTCAAATACCTTTAAAAAAAAAAGAACAGAATTTGAAAGTTGCTATTTCTCCTGTAGAATCTACAGATAAACCTCTGACACTGAAAGGCAGATGTTTTCTGTTTTGCTCTTCTGGTGGGATGGGCTTTGCAGGGCTAATTTCTGTCGTCACTAGGTGATAGTTTGTTTCTCTGTCCCTCTCTTAGGATATTTTGCTCGAGTTCATGGTGTCAGTCAGCTTATTAAAGCGTTTCTACGGAAGACAGAATGTCATTGTCAAATTCTCAACCTTGGGGCTGGGATGGATACCACCTTCTGGAGATTAAAGGTTAGTTAAAATTCCCCATCTTTCTTCTCAATTGTTTAGATTTAATTTTTGAAGATGTTCATCTAGTTCAAAAATTAAAAAAAAAAAGTTGAAAGGTGCACACCTGACATTGCATAGTGCCAACCTGTCTCCCGCCCCTACCCCCACCTGCCTGGACACCCCTCATGACCACCGTCAGTTTCATTTTTTTTTCACCAAGACCCTAGTGATACATAGTTTAAGTTGTTTCCAATTGTTACAAAGTGGGTATAATAAAAATCCCTATGTGTATTTTCCTCTAATATGTGTAAAATATGTTAGGGAAAAAATTCTCCCAGTAGAATTTGTGGGACAAAGAGCCATGCATTTGTAATTTGGAGGATAACTAAGATTTTATCAGTATAATGACATCTTGGGTGAAATTTGGAAATTTGCAAGCCTGGCTTGATATTAGTAATATGATGATGATATATTAATATTATCATACAATAATATGTTAATAATATGATAATATGTTGCAAAGCCCTTTTGTAGTCATTTCTGATTTGATCCCTTAACTGTCCTGTTACAATTATGACTGCAGATGTAATTACACTTACAGGAAAGGAAACTTGGGTCTAGGTAGTGGTAGAATCAGAACTAAAATGCTGTTCTTTGTTTCTTACTATCAAACCTTTTCCCTACAAAGTTCTCATTGATTGTATTTTTCTTTTTTGTAGGTTTGTGCAGATTTTACTTGGTTCTTCTATCAGGCCAGTCATGTGACAGTAATGGGTATGTGCACTTTCCCAGAATTCTTGCAGATGTAGGGCAAGACCTGCATATTTATGTTGTCCCTAATCAACTCACCTGATGACAAGGTCTTTGGGCTGGGCTCAGTGGCTCAGCCTGTAATCCCAGCTCTTTGGGAGGCTGAGGTGAGGGGATTGCCTGAACTTGCAGGTTCGAGATCAGCCTGGGCAAATTGGCGAGCCCTCATCTCTACAATAAATAAAAAAAATTAGCCGAGTCTGGTAGTGCACGCCTGTAGTTCCGGCTACTTGGAAAACTGAGGTGGAAGGATCACCAGAACCCAGCAGGTTGACCCTGGGGTGGCAGTGAGCGTGCCACTGCTCTCCAACCTGGGCAACGGAGTGGGACTCCAACTCCAAAAAAAAAGGTCTTTGACCATCGGAGCTCCTAACCTTTCTCTTACTGAAGTGAGAAATCAGTGGCTTCAATATGGTCTTGGTATTTGTTTGCCTCTGCATTCTTTTTTCAAGATGTGGTCACTAACATTTATGAAGTGATTTTATATATACAAACTCATGAAGGAATGTGAGAGCTCTGTGAGCGAGTTTTACACAGATGGGGAAGTGGGACCGCAAGCAGTTTTGTCTTCCAGGATCCTACATCGAGGGGCATTGAATAGAGAACAAGCCTTGGATCTAGCTCATCACTCCAGATTCTTCTTTCCTCTGCACCCAGTCCCTGTGGTTGTTTAGGGGAGTCTTTTGGCGACCTCCCCTTTTCTGTAAATCTGTTGTGTCTTTGTAACGTCATGCCCCATGGTGTGGTGGAAGGAACTGGAGCAAAATATGATGTAAGAGAATGTGCCATGTCAGTATTTACAGAGACCGCTGGAGAAATCCCTCCATTGGGCCTGAAACCCCTTTGACTTGACCACAGGATTTTTTCCCCCTGTCTTGTAGATGGGCTAATTAATAAATCTGAAGTTTTTATTTCTCAGCAAAGTGCAATGACACTTAGGTACACCTTCCTAAAAAGATTGTCTGCCAATAGTGAGGAAGGAGAATTGCATAGTGTGTGAAAGTTCTTTGTGAAATTTTTTTTTTGTTTTGATTGATAATTATGTTGGTCTAAAATATATATATATATATATATATATATAGTGTTTGTTTGCTCTTTTAGATCAGGAATTGCAGACTCTAGCCTATAGACCAAATCTGGTCTACCACCTGTTTTTGTAAATAAAGTTTTATTGGAACACAGCCAGTCTCATTTGTTTGCACATCATGGCTTAGCAGCCATATGACAACTATAACAGCAGAGTTGAGTAGTTACAACAGAGACCATCTGGCCTGCAAAGGCTAAAATATTTACTTTTTGGCTCTTTACAGAAAAAGTTTGCCAATCTCTGTTTTAGAGTTATATGTGTTTCTCTAAAAGTATAGGGAAAACCTTGTCCATGAGTCTTACTGTCTTGTGTACCTTCCAACTGGGATAGTTCCCTGGTTGCACTGGCAGAGGTTTGGCTGTGAGTCACAGGCTTTCTGCTGACACTACTGTGTGAGCTTGTTCTATATAATCTCAGGAGCCGAAGATTATATTGCAGGCAGTAGACAGGAACAGGACAAAGGAAAGTCTTGTAACAAAAAAGAAAAAAAGGATGAGTGAAACCTTTTTAGGCACCTCCGTTTCTTCACATCTCTGGAATTCTGTTTCTGTACAACAAATTAACTGCATAGGGGAAGCAGGGTCAATGTTGGCAGTCTGTGAGGTGGTCAGCCATGTTGGATACCCTTTGAATCTGAAAGCGTTCCTGTTCCTGGCTGCCCTTGGCAATTATCCCCTGTCTCAGTGTCTTCAGTACCAACTCCTGGTCTGTGAGCTATTTGGGAGTGGAGTGTCAAAAGGACCATAGAGAATCACAGAATAAAAAGTTGAAGCATCACTTGCCACAGCAATTTTACCCCTTTCTCAAAGCCAAGAAAGAGGATATTTGTTTCTTAAGAGCTCTAGGTGTGCCTTTTGGAAGTGTTCCTTCCACAGTGGCCTCTTCTTCAGCATTCTTATGAGGATCAAGTGAGATAATACATGAGAAAACGCTTTAAAAATGAGAAGTCTGGGAGGGTGCATATAATATCAATAAGGGTACCTGGTCTCAAACTAGGTGAAGTAGGAACCCAAGGGACGCCCAAACTTTACCTGTATGATGACTACTTGTCTACCTAATCCTGAGTTATACTCCACATCCTTAAAAAATAAAAATTAAAAGAAAAGAAAAGAAATAATGAATTAAAATACCAGGAAAAAAAAATTAAGAAGTCCCATAAGAGTTGTAGGGCACTGTACTGTCCTTCATTCATTTGCTTTTAATGGCTCTCAATGTCTTCTGGAATTCTAGAGGATCCTTAACTTCCCATATCCTGTGAGTAAAAGTTCTTAAAAGGTGTTATAGAATATCCTAGCAAAAGTTATTTCCATATCGTCTCTATATATTTATTCCAAATATTTTGAAACAACTTTTACATAGCACTGCTCTGCAGGCAGGCAGGCAGGCGGGTGCTGCACCTCTTAGTGAGAACCCTAGCTTTGTGAGCCTGAGTCTGATTGGATGTGTCATGAGACTGTCTTGTTTTAATAGATAAATCCCAGGCTAGATCCCCTAGGATTCCAACAGAGGACTAGTCTCCATATGAGTGAGGGACAGCTGTATCTGACAGCCCTGGTATTTTCTCTTAAGGTCACTTTCCTACTAGAATATGGTTGCTCGTGATTTCTGTCCCCATCATGCTGTTCTCACGGCATCTGCTGTCCCCCCATCCCCCACCCCAAGGATTCTTCTACCCCTCCATACCATCTCTTGTTACTGTCTCCATTCATGGTTCTCTTACCTGTCTAGTTGCTCAAGTTAAAACTAAGATATCATCCTTATCGTGCTTTTTCCTGAATCCCATCCTATACCAGTAAAGCCGTCACCAGCATCTGGATGTCAGCAATCTTCTTTTTTAAAAAAATAGGTAGTTCTGCGTTTCTGGGATCTGAACGGTAACAGAACACTTAGGGGAGAGGCTGGGCAGGTGAACCAGTCTGTAGAGCACCTTGTCTCTTGCTGTGTCTTGGCAGTGTGAAGAGCTACTAGAGGCAGCACACATATGTGGTGCAGTACACCGCACTGTGTAGCTAAAAAAGACCAGGAAGGGGCATTGGTATATCTGGACAAGAGGGGATAGAGCTCAGGATGAATGCCAGAAGAGTCAGCAGGGCTGTGTGATTGGTTGATGAGATGGTAGGGAGGGAGTGGAAATACTAGAATGACCAGTGAGTGACTGGATGGGGAAGTATAGACATCAGCTAAGCTAGGGGAAGCAGGGCGGGGGTGTGTGTGTGTGTGTGTGTGTGTGTGTGTGTGTGTGTGTGTGTGTGTATGTGCTGCTTTCACACTTGTTTGACAGACACCCACAGGAAAAAATAAATGTTGCATTCATTCCAAGTAGGGAAGCAGGGATGTGTGTGTGTGTGTGTGTGTGTGTGTGTGTGTGTGTGTGCTGCTTTCACACTTGTTTGACAGTCACCCACAGGAAAAAATAAATGTTGCATTCCAAGCCAGGACCCATATCCACGTATCTTTGTCTGTAAGTAATAAAGGCACACACATGGTATTTACTAAGGCCAGCCCCTCTTATAAGGGCCCCTCATGTATTACCTTTTAAACCTCACAACCCCATGAGGTGTTAGCATTTTCTCCACTTTTCAGAAACCTTAGCCCAGCGAGTTTAGTGCTTTTTCCAAGACTTCACAGCAAATAAGTGGTGGTGGAGTTTGGGTTTGAACCCTGTCCTGGCTTTAAGGTACCTGTACTTTACCACTCCTTTATACTGCACTATAACAGAAAAACAATGTATCACAAGGTGGTACTTAATACATGTGACACTTTCTGATATTTGCTATTTTATTCAATTTCATCTAAAACAATGCTGTTCAAAACCCATAATGTTGATTTTTTTGACCCTCCCTAATAGGTCTCAGCTGCTTTTTGAAAAGTACTGTGTGTCCTACTTTTAAAGTGCCTCTCAATTCCTTTTCCCCTTATCTTCTTACCTAGTCAACTGCTGTGGCCTCCTAAACTTTCACCCATTCTTGCTTCCCTCAAATCCATTCTTCATGTCAGGACCATAATAATTTGAAAAATACATTTCTGACTGCATCAGTGCCCTGATTTAAAATCCTTAAACATCTCCTTGCTCTTAGATGCCTAGTGCTTGATATGTAGAAGGTGATCAGTAAATGTATGAATGAAGCATTAATTATAAAGACTGCTGTGTTTTTTCCCAGGATGAAGATCTTCTCCCAAGTAAATATTTTGAAGTGGACTTTCCAATGATAGTCACGAGAAAACTGCACAACATCAAGTAAGTGAGGCTTTGATGGGAGGAAGAATAAGAGCCAGGTAGAATTCAGTCCCAGCTCACAGTAGATGACAGATTTGAAGGCTAGAGATCTCTTTTTAATACACTTTTTTCCTTTACCCTCCCTCCCCACTTTCTTTCTTACTTTGGAAACCTCCCTGTCCAGCGTGTTGTGCATCTTCAAAATGCACTGTACCTTCCCTTGTCATTCTTCTATTCATTAATGTAATTTTCTGGACATTTAAAAATGACCTATTATAGTTTAATCTGAATTTTTATGTGTACTTTGTTTACTTGTTTTTTGTTTTGTTTTGTTTTTTGGGGAGTATAGTGGCATGATCATGAGTCACTGCAGCCTTGACCTTCTGGGCACAGGCAATCCTTCCGCCTCGACCTTCTGGGCTCAGGCAATCCTTCTGCCTCAGCCTCCCGAGAGCTGGAACTACAGGCACACATCACCACACCCAGCTTATTTTTTTGATTTTTGTAGATACAGTCTTGTTATGTTGCGTAGGCGTCTCTGTAACTCCTAGGCTCAAGCTATCCTCTTGCATTTGCCTTCTTTTTTTTTGAATTGGAGTTTCACTGTCACCCAGACTGGAGTGCAGTGGCCACACTCCCAGCCACCACAGCCTCGACCTGCTGGGCTCCGGCGATCTTTCCAGCTCAACCTTCCAAGTAGCTGAACTACAGGTGCATGCTATCACACCTGGCTAACTTTTTTGATTTATTGTAGAGATGAGGTGTAGGCAGGTCTCGAACCCACGGGCTCAGGCAATCCACTCACCTCAGCCTCCCAAAGGTGCGGGATTACAGGCTGAGCCACCGAGCCTGGCTGCATTTGCCTTCTTAAATGCTAGAATTATAGGTATGAGCCACCATGCCTGGCCTTGTTTTCTTCATCTCCAGGGCATAGAAAGTTACCTGACCCAGAATAGATATGCAGTAAATCATCTTTTGGAATATGAATGAATGCATGAATGAATGAAAGTTAGTTATTATATATGAGATACTATGGGGACCATTCTGAATCCTCAAGCTAATCTTTGCTGAGAGTTTATTTTGCCTAGTATCATGTTAGGTGTTTCATTTGGATTGTTTCATTTAGTCCTCATGGCAGATTTATGAATTAAGTGCTATTATTATTATTCCCTTTTTGCAGATGAGGACACTGAGGCTCAAAGAAGTTAAATTTGCTCAAGGCCACCTAGCTAGGAAAGGATGGAGCTGAGATTTAAACTCTGACTTCAAGCCTGAGGTTAAGGCTTCTTAATAGTTTTAACTACACTCCTACCCCCTTTGAAATTTGTCCTTTAAATAAAATCCTAATTCTTTTTTTTTTTTTGGTAGAGCCGAGGTCTTACCAAGTTGCCTGGTCTGGTCTTAAACCTGCAGGTTCAGGCAATTCACTTGCCTCGTCCTCCCAAAGTACTGGAATTACAGTCTGAACCTCTGAGCCCAGCCAAAATCCTAATTCTTACATTGCAGTAATTTTTTTTTTTTGAGTTGGAGTCTCACTCTGTCACCCAGACTGGAGTGCAGTGGCCGGGCCTGGCCACCGCAGCCTCGAC